GACAGGCAGGGGGCTGAGCAGCTCTTCACTAGAGATTTTTTTACTTAGAGGTTGAAACTGGTGAAGACCTTGTCCACTCTGCCATGCTACCACCAGCCTCAAATGAAACACTGTTGTGCTCAGCTTTCCAGAAGGATTATTGTATGTCAAAGCTTTACGTTATTGAAATCAACCCTTTCCTATGGACAAGGGGGGAGAAAAATCAAACAAGTCATCTATAGTAATCTGTGTTGACAGGTTTTTCTGAGAAATAGCCCGTATAATTCACAGTAGGGAAGAGATTTGTATCAACAAATTACTTTGGAAGAACAGACTTTGATGAGACAAATGGGACCAGTCCCCCAGTCTACACTTTGGTAGAGGGCAATTTCTATAATATGCTGCCCCAGGGTTACGACACACCCACTTGATGTATGGAGAGAGGCAAAGTAGGAGTAAATGTGGGAAGAACAGCACGGAGAAATTGTGATGACAATCATGGTGGTATCCTTTTCCAAACAGGATGAGGAGCTCTGGCTTGTACTGATTCATAGTTTGTTTTCATGGCACTATTTATAAATCTGCTAACACTTCCTAAATGGTAACCCTAACGGCAAATTACAAATCCTTCATAATTTGACATGTATCTGAATTATTTTATGTGTTTTCAATGGGAAAAATAACCATTTTCTTGACTGCTTCAGAATAGTGAACACTTGAGATGTTGAATTGATCAGACACAATGAAGCACTGTCTGTGAAACCTGGCTGGATATTGCCTGTTGGATCAGAGCAGACCTGTCTCTCATTGGAGCTTATTTGGGAAAATCCACCCTTGATCTCAGCCCCTTTTCATGGAGTACCACACACATTTTTGGAGGTGCCCAGGCCATCAGCTTCAGACACCCCCAAACACAGCTCTCCCCTGGGCACCAGGGGAAGCTGTGGGACGCACGGGGCAGCAGCTCCTGCAGTTTGTGAGGTCCTTTGGTGGGGGCTTTATTTGGAGCCTGTCTGTGGCAGGTGCAGGGCAGCTCTGCAGGGCAGCAGTGACACGTGGCTGTCACAGCTTTGTCCATCTCACGTGATGAGCCCCTTGACCCACCACAGAGCAACCCCCTTTGGGGAGCAGGTCCTGTTTCATTCACCTCAGTTCCTACACCATTAATTCCTCCATCATCCTTCTTTGTATTAATTTCTTAAGCTGCTCTAGCTGTCACATCTGCACACTTACCAGCTGGTTTCCCATTTTTAATTGCCCTCAGAGGGCTTCTTCAAGAGCCACACCTGCTTTTGTATGGGCCTTAATTTGTCACTGTCCAAACTGGAGCAGCAAGCATTTAGAATTCAGCCTCTATGACTGTGTTGTATTTCTTCAAATGCATGATTAATTGCTGGGCCTTTACAGGCTGCATTCAGCTATTTCTGCATAAAACAGAGATTGTCTTTTGCTGGAAAGCTCTTCACATCATGGATATTAAATATTTTCTTGTCAGAGAAACTTGTGTTTGTTCATCCCATTTGTCCTGGCAGAAAGGGGCTGTATGAAATGCAAAGGAAGCTCAGAGCCCTCTCAGGTTTATCCTGTTTAGAAGGGGAAAAAAAGTTCTTTTTCTTTGTCAAACCTGTTATTGTAAGGAAATATTTGAGATTAGGGCAGGAGGGGATGTTCCAGGTCATTCCATACAGGCCCTAAAGCAGGTTGTATAATCCAGCTCATAAACTGCTTGAACTCCTCCTTAAAAAATACTAAGCCTTTTTTTGTCCTCCTTCATGCTGCTATGGGAAGGCTACTTTAAAACCTTATTTTTAAGCCCAAAGTGATTTCCTTATTAGATCCATGCTTGGAGAAGCCCTCCATGGCTAGGCAAGGGGTGCTTTCCCCTCTCTTTTACATCATCTTCTCAGCCCAGATATGTCCAAGGTGCAGGATGTGGCCAGCTGGGGTTTCCCCCTCTACCATCCCTCAGATCCTCAGGGACAATCAGTGAGCAAAGACGTTCACTAGAAGAAGAAGCCTTGCGGGAAGGGAATGGAGAGGGGTCCCAGCAGAGCCAGCCTGGCAGCACTGCCACAGGCGCTCCTCCTCTCTGCTGTCCAAGAGCAATGGCCCTGCCTTACTCCTGGTTAACTCCTCTCCTGAAGAACAACTTGCTATCCTTCACCCTCTAGGTAGGAACTAGGCACAGCTTGCAAAACACAGAAACAAACTCTTGCCCCCAAAAGTCCCACCAGTATGAGGAAGACACGGAAAGAGTAGCAAAGGAGATATATATATATATATATATATATATGGATGGATACATTGGCAGGCAAGTAAGCACTTTTAAAAAATTAATTTTTAATTTGCCAGAGCCTCTTTCTGCCCAGGGCTCATGTAGAGGGTGGAAAGCTGCTCTCAGAAATCAGTAGCAGGCCCCTCCTGTTACTTTATGCGGCCATGGCCTGCGGGGGCAAAACTAACCTGAAGAGGGGAGCACAAAACAGTGATTGCCATGAACTGGTTGTTTTAGTGCCATAGGGTGAGCAGCACATTGGACCACTGAAGAAAGGCTAAAAGTGCCTGTTGTGGACACATGGCTCAGTTATATATATTTCCATGGTGGGAACCCCTCACACAGAAGCAGCCCAATGTGAGTGGCAGGTGAGCTGGGCATTTGGCAGCAATTGTGGCTGATACCCCTCAAGCCCTGCCTGCACTCCACAGCCTTTGCAATGGTCTCCCTTCTTCTATCAGGAAATGAAGTAATGCTAGTGTCTCCAGGCAATTTTGAGGCTCAATTAGTATTCACCAAATAATATATGTAAGTGCTGAGTAATGCTTTAACATTATTAATTTCTTGAGAACAACAGAAAGCTGCTCAAGAGCCGTCAGTGCCCATTCCTGCAATCGCAAAAAAGTGGTCATGTGGGAGATGCCCATGTAGTCCCGGTGGAGGATGCTGACATCTGGGGCCAGCTGCCTCTGTGCCCTCAGTGTGCGACACAGGGGATGTTCCTGTGCACACGCCAGTGCCCCTTGTTCCCAAAGGATGCTACAATCCTGGTATTAAAATGCCTTGTTTGATGTGGCCAAGGGAGGTACGAAACAAGCTCCCCTGAGCTCAGCTAAGCCCTGATCCGTGCTGGCCTGGGAGGTTGGGCACCATGTCTCCCCTGCCTCAGCCCTCTCTCAGCCCTCCTCCCTTTTTCCTTGATGTGTTTTATTGCTTTAATCAGAGTCCCCCGATCTGATGAAGGCTCAGAGTCCTTCTGAGCAGCACTGCTGGAACTGCCTAACTGGAGGGTCCCTAGAGGGAAGCTGTGAGAACAAGTAACAGAGCAAGGAGCTGCACCGCTCACCCCTGCCACCCTCTGCTCCCCTCTTCTGCATACATATTTTGTTTCCACCTAGTGGGATCAGGCTTTAATAACAAAAGCAGCTCTAGATGCAGCCCAAGTCCTCTGTATTTGGAAGTACATCCAGCTGATTCCTGTCACGGATCCTTAAGGGCCACAGAAACACCCATGTCTCTCTGAGGCCACTCATCCTCCTACTGAAATTAGGGCAGAAGTAGGCGGGAGACAGGGCAGGAGATCGCTCAGGAAACTACATGGGGGCAGCAGGTTTTGGGGGGGCCTCGGTGGTGTGGGAGGGAGTCAAGGGTAACGGAGAATTAAAGGGAGAAAGAGAAAAAAAACCCAAACAACTGTAATGAGAAACACAGAATGAAGGAAAAGTCCCAGTTCTTACTTTGCTCGCCACAACCCTCCTGCCTGAAATGTACTGGTTCCTCGCACCCCAGCGCTGCCCCCTCGCACGCCCCGTTCCCACAGACCGGCCGCGTTTGCCCCCACCCCCGGCCCT